TCTTTCTGAACAAACTGTTCTTTGAGGCCAAGCACCATTATTCACATTGACAACAACAGCAGAAAGTGCTACTGCCTCTGCCCACTCCTGGTACAAAACGAGCATGATCACCTCCTAGAAACCAACAGGAAAAAACAATACGCACAACCACATGCACATCTCTGTGTACCGGTATCTATATCCGTACCCGTACCTACTGGGTGAGTGCAAATAAACCCTCACCCGACGGCAGTGCTGCGAAGTCCAGTGGAGGGCCTGGGCTGAGGACAGCGGTTTGGACCACCACGGCTGCAGCCAAGGCACAGGGAGGCAACCCGGAGCGCACTGCAACAGCAAAGCTGTTCCAAGAGCTGTTCATAAGCAAAGGCAGGAAAGAGGAGATGCTGTGAAGGGGCAGCATGTTGCTGATTCATGGGGTGTCCCGAGTTGGTACTGGAAGAGAAGGGTGGGCTCTAGAAGGAAAGGATCAAGGAAGAGTGACCTTCCTAGCCGGGAGAAGAATTAGGCCATGAGGGAGAGGAGGCCCTTGGATTGAAATCTCTCACGTTAGAGAAACACATCGTGTGCTCGGTAAAGGGCAGCACGGATGAGTTTTGCTCTGGGGGCGAAGGGCTGGTGTCCTTCGGCACTGAGATGCCCATTCACGGATCCCAGTGTCAGCCCTGCACCACCAGTCTCTTTCCAGAAAGAGCAGTCTTCCCAGGCTGCGAACGCTCCAGGAGCTGCTAGAGCTCCTGTCACTGTCACGGTTACCCACAGGCTCACACCACAGTTACCAAAAGCAAGGACTTGCAGAGATTTCTGTGGCACAGGCCACATTTCAGAGAGCCCTTCGGGTATCGTGACCATGCAAACCGCCTTTCTTCTTAACGGTCCTGCCAACATCCGGGTTACGTTGATGCCATGATGCGTGCACTGACAGATGACAATAATGTGTTAAATTACTACAAATCATCCCCTCTGTGACTGTTATAATTCACCCCTTTTAGCTGTCAAGCTGGTGAGAAGTTGGGATACAAATATTTCCTCCGTCGATACTCCTCTGCCAAAAAACACTACAGCAAGAACTAAGCTTTAAGCTTGTGAAACAAGCTTTCAGCATGTAAAACCTGAAGTATCGTGTCATTGAAAGAAATACCCAAGCTTGTCAGCATTCAAATTTATTATGACCAATCTCTTACAATGCTCCTTATTAGATGTCGTTAAGGTATGCAGCGAGAAAATTAGAAGGTCTTCCCTTTTTGGGAAGGATTAATCAGATGTGGAAGCCAACAATGCCTCTGCTAGTCTAGCAACCCGAGGGATTTGTACATTCAAGCCAAGGAAAACCCCCAAACACTGCGATCCAATGCCATACCCAGAAGGTATTTAACAGATTAAAATCATTTTGCAGACAACACATTGAATGGAAATACTTGATACCACTTATTATGGAAATACCTGACCACTTATTAAACCCATTATCTAGTAAGAAAATCCATCACAAAAGGTTATTGAGTTCTCAAACACCACGTTGATCAATGCCGGCACCTTCAGATGGAAGAATATGAGCTCCCATCTGGCAGGTGCCATCTGGAGCCCTGGGAATCATATCCAACTCTCTCACCATGCTGATGAATCCCACAGCACTTTACAAGGCAGAAAAGCACTGTTCCTGCTCGCACGGGGGAGCGATCGCAGGCTCTGCCTCTGGGACAAGTACTTAAATTTCGCTTGGCACATTTTTATATTTTTTAGCTTAAACCACCTATCATTTATTTGAAATGAGAGCCCAGAGTGCTTTGACAGGAGTCTCTGAAAGGGATTTTGGGAGATGGAAGCTTCCTTTTGAGCCTCAAAAGGATCTGCTGTCGCACAAGCTGATGGCTGCGATCGTCCCAACAGCAACAGGAGCGAAGCTTGAAGTTTCCGCGGCTCTTTCCAGGTCCTGCGGAGGCGAAGGCACCGCCGAACACTTTGACGGCAGGCGCTGCACACCCGCTGCAGCGCGGTCACAACTAGAGGCTGGGAGCGCAGCACACCCCTCTTGGGTGGGAACCGTCGGTGAACCGCGTACATCTGAGACGCTGAACCCCACCCACAGCAGCGCAGCCGCTCTGCAACTCCCTGAGCCGGCGCAGACACAGCTTCGCAGATCAAGAGGGGAAAAAGCAGCCCCGCACGACGCTTTCTCCAGGAAACATAGACCGCTTCCGCCTTACTGCACTTCAGCGTTAAGGTGCCCTACGTCTGTGCAGCCACACTTCCCGTCTTGGGGGCAGCACCTCAGGAACAAGTCTGGGGGCACATGGCTCGGCAGCTGGTCCGAGCCTACAGGCCTCCGCCAGCAGAGTAGACACGTCTTAACGTAGCCACATTCGGGTGAGTAAGAGAGAGAAATAATGATTAGCAGTGAAAGGAAAAACGTACTCGTAGCTACATTTGAAATTACGGCAACGTACGCAGAGCCCTGAGGGTACGACCATCTGTCGCGGCCAAATTGTCAAGCGGTTTTAAAGACAACTGGACCACAGGGCTGGAGTCGCCACCAAGCACGTAGAATCCGTCTGTGCCCAACGGATAAACTCCACTTCCAACGCTGACCGCTGGGGTTTTCTGCAGGTGCTTTCTTTTTTTCATTCCCTTTAACAGCAATTGTTAAGTAATTGCAAATTAATTAAGTGCTAATAAACGAATTGGGTGTTTTCTTCCCTAGCAAAGAAGTAAGCACCAGTCTGTGAGAGGATGACGCCACAACTGACCATGAACTGGGTTTTGCATAACCTACCACCACCTGGTTACCTTTCATTCAGCCAGGGTGAGGAGCAGTACTGGGGCAAGCACAACCGGCTTCTGGGAGTTTTGGGGTGGGGTTTTTTCGGAGTTTTTTTGCTTTGTCTTGGTTTTTTTCAGGACAGCAGCATCAGCACAGAGTGATCACGGAATGACAGCCTGAAACCTATTTGTTTTGGGATCAGAAAGGACAACGACCAGAAACCTCGGCACAACTCGCTAACTACAGAAGATATCTCATTTATTTCATCAGTTAATTTTAAATTAATAACATTTGTTAACTTTTTGCATATGTATGCAGCACATTCAGTGTAATTTTACATAACTTTAAAGTGTTGCATGTCATTACTATTAAAATGCAGTTTGACACAAAGTGAGGCAAAAAAGGAAACCGATACCAGTCAGCGTTTCTACCGTCGTAACACAGAAAATCAGAAATCTAAGTAATTGTCTAACAAGCTGTCCAGTTGTTCAAATGTGAATACAGTGCATGGTTGCGGATAGCCAGAAGGAAGAACCAGATATAGTGTAGAAGCTGTTATCTAGTTGCAAATCTGTACTGTAAGGGTTACAAACTAAGGAGAACCAAGCTTTCAACAACAAAAAACCCCACCGCTTAGAGTAAGCAATAACTTAAATGCACTGTTTAACATGTATCACTTCAAATCAGCAACTTCATATAAACTTCCATCTCCACAAAACAAAGCAGAGAAACTGTAAAGCTTGACAAGAAAACGCAGACGGTAGAGTTAACAGGTTTGAGACTTTAGAAAGCACTCCGTACTGAAGAAGCAGGCAGGGGAAAAAGCATGCTGCTTTGGAATCCTTCTTTAGCACGTGCATTTCTCAAGTTACTGGGTAAAAAAAGCAAGGATTTCGGAATCTTACATACTAGGTGTATAACTATTCCTGTTACAGGCCCAAAGAGTTAAGCCATGAAATCTGTAGAAGACTTAAGTGTATGACAAATTTGAGGTAATCTTGAGGCAGGCAAGAGAAGCTAGCTAGGCTTTGAAATTACCATTTCCTAGGGCAAGATAAGCCCCATGCCAACGGGGATATCAGATGTTTCCTAGAGCCACAAATAGATGGCAACTGAATTCTCCTCAAAACCAGTAATAAAAAATATTGACAAGGCAGAGCAGTTACACATGAAAAGGTACTTTAGCACGTTTAGCCACCCGTGTTTAACTGTAGTTGTTTTACCATGACAAGTTTTGATCCAAAATGTAAATGGCTTTTGAAACTGTGCGAGGACAAACAGTAATAGTAATGTTCTCTGACACAGTCTCGAAGGAACATCAAGCACAGACTCAACTCCTTCATTTGCTCCTCAGCACACAAGGGTTTCCAGGAATACCAATCTTTTTTAACCTTCTAAGAAAACAACTAGGCAATTTTAACTGTCTCACCTAGGACTCTGACTACAGCATATTACAGGGTGGGTTTTCTAAGTCAAAACTCTCCATCAAGGGGAAACGAGCTTGGCCACTGACGTATGGCGAGGCCCAGCCCCAGGCGTCTATGCCATGGCAGCCAACATGCAAATAAAAGAAGGTGTGTAGATGAAAGCTAGTGAAGAGAGGAATGGTAGCTGAAGAAGGAATGGAAAAAGGCAACTTCCCTCCTCCTGAGTTCCCCACCCCTTACTTCTGCCCTTTTGAGGGCATTCTGCAAGCAGCTGATTATAGGACTCATTTTAAAATTCAGTCTGAAACAGAAACAAAGTCTTTTGTTTAAGGTGTATACCTTAGTATCTTCATTAAAATACTCCACTTTAGCGGCAGAGCTCTGTAAGCATTCTTCAGGCAAAGGCCTGAAGAATAATTCCTTCCAAAACACCACAGTACAGTCTTGCATTAAGACCTGAAATTACAGCAAAGGTTGACGCTGTCAGCACACGTCAAATACTTCCCAGTACGTCTGCAGAGGCCACTCGGCCTTGTGACCAGCAACTGTGCCTAGGCAGTACGACCACAAGTACCCTAAGCACACCCATTTCACAGGCCCTTCCTGGCTGAAAACAACTATGCCTCAGGCACTGCTCACCAAAAAAGTACAAAGAGTCCAAGCCTGGTATTTTTCTGATGTTGCGATCACAGAGTAGCATGGGGTAACGAATCTACTCCCCCAAAACAACTTACAGTTAAATATATTACTAATTGAGGGCTTAACATATCAAAAGTTCAGAAATATCATACCGCTTCAAAAGAGTCACAGCCTATCAGTATAAAGGAAGAATATAAAACTATTTTATTGACCACTGTTCACCAGTATTTACAATAAAGTAAACAATATACAGTCTGATAACATTCAAATTACTACAAAGTTAGTTTTCACCTGGTCTTCTTGGGACCAAGTTACCCCAAATACTAAAAAGAATGATTCTACAGGTTTAAAGGGCTAGGTTTGGGTAAAGAAGATACATGCACATCAATAGTATAGAAGACTACAAAACATCTGTGAGTTTGTTTAGACATTCAATACGATTCTGTAATAACTATGGAAGTTTATGAACGTTTTATAAAAGCTTTTACCTAATATGGAGGAAGTAGTAGTATCAAATGCTCTCTTGTGATAAATGAAACAAGTTGCAGAAAGCTTTTATTTACTTGCTGTTGATGCAAAACATACTACTTCAAAAAAATATCAAGTTTGACTCTTGTTAGAACGTATGCTTCTCACATTGCTAATAAATCAAATTTCAGGTTTTAATATTCATATATATAAAAAAGCAATGCAAACAATTATTGTGCTTCATCTTCTGGGCATGAATGCCAAGTTAGTCGCTCTTCATAAAAAGCGATTACGATCTGAGGACACTTCACGTTAGCTTCTTTGGCCAGCACCAGATCTGCCTCATCAGAGTCCTTCCTGATAGAGAAGAGAGTGGGATTTAAGAAAATGCATAATCATTAATTCAGTAGGTTTAGCAGCTCTTAAGAGGTCAGAAGTTCTGAAAAGAACGTCAGCTAGAAATCAGTTTTCAGTATACTTTTCCATGTAGCTACCAAGCACTGGCATGCTAATGGCAAGGTTCCATAGCTCTGTCTTCCTTCCCCATCCCAAGATTATTTTTTCCTGTTTGAAAGGAAATTGCTATTCAAAGGGAACCATTTATTCAGTTACCTACTGCAGTATGTAATATAAGAAGTAAAACTTTTCTAATTTTGCCTTTTAAAGCACATCAAAACTTCAAAGCAAGACTTTTAAAAAACAACAGCATCAGCCCTAAAAGGTGGCACTTACAGCCAAGTTATATTTACTGTTTATGCAAGTAACCTGCTGTATTTCATACTGCTATTCCTGATGCTGTCTTGGGGTAATAAAAACAACCTGTCAGATTCCATTTGGAAGCGTAAGCTGCCTTTACCAGTCAGTTCTGTGCATACGTATTCATACCTATGTTTGTTGCCTACAATAAATCACGAAAAACTAATCAACCGCAACTGAACTAAACAAAAAAAAAAAAGCTGCTTTTTGTACATTTCCTTTGTGTTTGATTTTGCCAATTGCCACTAGGGAAGGCCAAAGAGTCACAATCTGTATTTGCAACTCTCCCAGGTTTCACGTAAAATTTATGGAGAATTTGAAAAGGCAGAAAGGAGACAATCTTCCAAAGCTCTGATCTTCAGCAGCCCAGGCACATCGCACGACAAATCATTTCTCTGCAGACCAAGGTGTGTGACTCCATTCAGAAAATCACGCTCTCCGCAAAGCCTCTGGAAAGCTACCGCTCTTGTCATCCCACCACCATAACAAATCTGACCCCCAGCAAATCTTAATTCGATCCCTTGCATTATCGACACTGGAAAAAAAAAAGTACCAATTTCATCCTACCTGTTCAGAAGGCAAGAACACTGTAGCTAATGAACCTGGTCTCCCCCTACCCTCCCAATAACACAAACACCCCCCATCACTCTCCCCTCTTACCAGCCCATAATGATAAACTTTCACATTGTTTATTCTTCATCTCAACCTCAGCTTCTTCCACTAGTTGCCTCCAACTCCTTCCACTTTGTTGCACGCAGCACAGCTGGCACTATAGCGGGTTAAAAGGTTGGCGACCCAGCAGCTGGCTTCTGCTTACTGGAACATGCAAAGCTGGAGTTCTGCCTGCCACTCCCTCACAGCAAGAACACTACCAAGATCCACCTTTTCCATACAAATGCCTTTTTTTCCCCCCGTATTTTATCAGAACTTACCTTTCAAATTTCTACTTCTGAAAAACGGAACCAATAGAATCTAAAGTTATTCCGTGTTTGGAAGGAAGAAGGAGTAAGTGCGGAGTAGAGAGGCCTTGTATTTCCGAGAACACCAGCTGAACAAGCAGACTACCAGCTTCCCCGTCCTACTCCTGAAAGGAAGTCGTCTCACCAGCCTAAGCGCAACTGCCTGCCCGCCCTCAACAGGGACAGGAACCGTGGATGTAAGACTTACCATTTCATGAGGAACATAAGCTCTCCGCTGCTATCCGTAGCTCCAATTATCCGCTCAGGATCAAGACCCCTCGCAAACCCTCTCGGTTTATCGACCTATTGAGTAAGTCAGAAGGTTGTTATCTGGTCTAAGATAAAATTCTGTTTCGGCATTAAAGCCAGACATACGCATTCTCGTGCGCAGATGGATGCGTGTAGAACACAACACAAAACACAGCGTTACATAATTATAAAAGCTATAATTGAATAGAACTGTCTGAAGATTACATTAATTTTATTTTTTCCCTGACTGATCTTCAGGCCAAGTCATTTAGTCGTAGAGTAACGATGAAGGAATTTTACATGGATGTTTCTAGCATTTATTTCTGAAAACTCAACAGAGGAAACAAGTGCTCAAAATCCTAAACAAACAAGCGTGGCCAATAAAAGCAACAGAAGAGGCAAAGCAAGAACGCACTCCTGGAAATGGGAAAAGCACATCCTTTTCAGCAAAACAGGTTTGGGGTGGCTTAATTCCACTGTGCAACTGCCCCTGCGGGGAAGGCTCTTCCTGCCTGGCTGAGACTGCACTGGCGTAAGGAGCACCGTCACTGCTTCCTCTGTTCGTTCCTCCAGTTTCACAGTAGCCTTTTCAAGACAGCGGCCACGACTGTACCAGATGAAGACACCCAACTGACTTTACACAGAAACCGAAATAGTCTATTATTCATCATCTATTCCTTCTGGTGCCTTCCAACTTTCCTGACAGTAACCACCTATCCAACAGCTGTCTTCAGTAAACGACTGACATTGCCAACCAGTTTTGTTTAAAATTGCTACCTTGAAAGTTTACTTCCAAAAAAAGCGTGCTACTGAGCACATTTTTTACGTGTGCATTATTTTGTATTTATCAGCACTAGATTTGTCATATTGTTCATTCATTTAAACTGCAGGAGAAACCCAGACCTTTAAGAAAAGGTAGGCTTTCTTCAGTCACCCTTTCTACTCCCTCTCCACCATCAAGTCTGGTCCTAATCTAATTGACTGCCTAGTCTTCACCTCTTGCCACTCACCTATTTAAAATCATACACTACAAGTGAAAGCCAAACCAGAACTTCATCTCTGTTGCATTCATGAACCTCTTGCTCTAATGCAAACCAACCACTTTACGTCATCCATAAATAACTCTTAACCAGTCTTACTTTCAATTACTCAGTAAGCGTCGTGGGACAACGCAAGAACTTTCAGTCATCGTGTTAATCGATCACCTTTCACCCCCCATTTGGACAGTCTCACTAAGCACCATGAATAATTACCCTTTTCAAAACACAGCTCTAGACGCTGTGCTCTTTTTACAGTTTTAAACCCATGTTTGGTCTCATTCCCAAAGTCTCATTAGCATTTGGGGAGGGAGGGGGACAGGGAGAAATAAGGAAGAGACACAGGAAAACCAAACTTAGCACATGAACGTGTACTTACAGAATCACGCTTTTTCTTTGATTTACTATCATCAGATTCGCTATCTGACAAAGATTTTCTTTTGGCACCGTCTGTTTTTTCTTTACCAGCTTTCTGAGAGTTCAGAAAAGCTTCAATTAGCTCTGGACAATCTAAGTTTTCTTCAGGTTCCCATGTGTTGTCAGCACTGAAACACACACACATTTATGTAAAACTAGGAAAAGAAGAAAAACGTAAAACTAGCCACATGGCTCACCTTTAGCAAACTAGGTTTTTTCTCGTTATGTAAGACAGATTTCTTAAACCTAAGGACGCTTCTGTTGCCATCTTTAGTAACCTTTGCCTACTGTATTTGATGACTGGAAGAAGTACACTCTGCTGTTGTTTAAACAGTGTTCTTGAACTAGAGATACAGAACAAGCAGCTCTATTAACTCCTGAGATATGGATGGGATCACAGGAGTTAAAACAAGCAGTCCCCATCCTTCCAAAACCTACCTCTCCATTTTAAAGTGACTCCCTTCCTTGGTTCCTCTGAAGACTGTCCATGCAAACTAGATGATGTGAGCACCAAGACTTATGGAGAACAGAACGCACACAACACTCAGGAGAAACGGTGCAAGTATGCATGTCTAAGCTTTGATATACGAGGATTACTCTCAGAAGTTGTCTCCAAGCACTGACATATCTGGAGCTATCTACCTCCTTCAGTTGACTACAGGAGGAAACAAAGGTTTCATGACCAGAGCTGGACACTGCAAATGTTGAGACGAGTGTGTATTCTGCTAACTAAAACTTTAAGAAGGCCATGAATGTCCCCTACAACAATTAAGCACCTCGCCAGAAGTCCTCATGCACAAATGCTGCCACAGCACTACTGCACAAGCAGGATGCCTACCAATTATTTTCAGTTACTAAAACATATTTTTGCAACTTCAAATCAGACCTTCAAACCCTAAACACATTATGTTTTGCGTTTACGCACTTAGAGCTACACCAGTTTCAGGTGCTGGAGTGCAGAATGTTGCAATACAATTGCTTTGGGAGGTATGCAACAACATGTCTGCGTACGTAACTACTGATGTATAAATGCCATGCGATCACCTTTCTTTCAGCTAGTAGTCTGCCAGAAAGTGTCACAGGAGGAAGGAAGGAGGCACAACTACATGCCTTCTTTAACAATCAGGTTTTTAAGTCCACTGTAAGGTTTTCTTGTGCTTCCGTAAATCCTGGGAAAGAGACTCAAAAGATACCTTTTGGGTATGCCTAATGAAGGCAACCATGCCACAGAATTCCTTATGTAACTTCATCTAATATGAGAGCAGTTCAGAAAAGTGAGGAATAGGCAAACTAACGGCTTCAAATTCATCACTTCAGAGCTGCCTACAGTTTAAATCCTGCAAAATTTCTTACTCAGAAGTAACGTTCATTCCACCACATACACAACAACCGTCAGTCTAGCTTACCTTGATAGACAGTGACACAAGCTAAATCCAAGAACAGTGGCGAAAGAACAGTCACTAAGGACTTGGTAAAAGTCTTGGAACATTTTATGTAGCACAAACACTAAGCTCTCTATCTTCTCTTTTATTTTCATACTTGACTGCCCCACATGAACATGAATTTATCGATGTCCCTCCCTTGACATTCTTTAAAATGTATCATCATCATCAAATCCCCTCTCCGCACAGTTATTTCAAATAAACGGTTAGTATTTAGCATTCTATCAGAAAAAAATAAGGTAATGCCTTACTCTGTAAATCCTTTCCACTTCAGGTAGTATTCCACCTTCCCATTTACAACACGTCTGTCCAGGACTTTCTCCACAACAAATTCTTCAGGCTCTGCCTCTTCAACTTTTTTACCTTTGCCATTCTGTTTCTTTCCCATTTTGTGCTACAAAAGAAATTCAGAATGACATTATTCATTCTTTTGATTTAGGCAGTTCCTTCACTGGCCAAATCCAACTTTGCTCAGTAAACAGCAAAGAATCATGTACTTATTCACACTAAAGCCAGAAGCTCAGACTCCTTTTACGTTAGTGCATGTGGTCAGGTAACCTGAGCAAGACATGTTAATGTTTTGGGCTTTTTTCAGTTGCTTAATGAGATACCCAACACCAGTTTTTAAAAAGGTGAAATATTTTTGTCCGTACACTCAGTGCCTCCACTCCCCTTATAAATTTAATTTCCAGAGTGCTACATGCTCAAAAATTTATGAAGCTTCTCGAACTTAACTCTATGCCTGTGAAAAGGCAGAGGGCAAGAAACAGCATAAGGCAGAAGAAAAGTAATAAGGGAACTGTGAAAATGCATAAAATAGAAAAGGGATGCTACTCAAAAGAAAATAAAAAGGTGGTTACTACCTTAAAAAAAAAAATAAGCTGATGGGAGCAAAGTTTATGATGTATTGCTACAATAAGAAAAATACTTAACAATACCCCGTAACTACTGAACAGGATGCATGCTAGGAGCATTCCATTACTGCAGACCCTTCTCATTCTCAGCCACGCACCAATGTGACTTACTTCCAAACAGATGTCACAGAGGTGCAAAAAATTAATGACAGCTACACTTAAGTACAGCACTTAACATGTAAAAGAAATTTTGCTAACTTAAAAAACTTTATGTGTTTTAAGTTTACATTTGATACTTCAAATAAGATTCTTTAAGTTCTTAAAATAAATATTACATCCACATCATCCTCAAGGCATTCCCAGTTTAATAAGGCACAATTAAACAGTAATAGAAGGACACATTTCAGAATTTTCCTTGTTTGTAATCTCAGTAAGGTTGGAACAAGCCTATCATGTTGCTGTATCACATTTCTGGAGCACTAGCAGACCAAAAGCAGTTTGCTTGCCATTTTGGACTGTACCTTATAAGGAAATTGTTAAAGTGGCAGCCATAACCTAACAGGAGCAGTATTAAGCTCCTAAAGCATATAGCTATGCAGCACCCTAAATCGAAACGGACAGAACTAATTCCTCACAAAGGCACTTCCTATAGTACAGAAAACAGACAAGCAAAAATCACAGAGCACTTCTACTTGCTTGACAGCCTTTCTCTAGTCCTCTCTAGAATTAACGCAGTTAGTGTGAGAATACTGCAAAGCAATTTTGAAACTGTCAAATTTTTAGATTTTGTCTTGATGTGGTGAAAGGTAGTATAAAAAAAGAGTACGTTAGATACAAGAAACACTGTCTTCATTTTGTAAACAGAAGATTTGAAGCCAATTCTTTCTTTCCAAAGCCCTGTTGTTGTGCCTCTTATTTTTCACACTTAATTTTTCCCTCCCTCCCCAAAACAGCTTTACTCTGGTTAGCAGCCCATAAATTGAAGGTGCAAACAATGAAGACGAGGAAAAGTTTCAAATAGCACATTTCTGAATATGATTATATCTCATGTGACATTTGTTTTGATTTGGAAGCATGGAAGAGAGATTATCTAAAACAGAGCATGTATTTCCAATTAGAGTTTAACTGCCTGCATATTCCAGGTGTATTTTGACCACAGCATTCATGTCTTAAAACTGTCAACAAGCACACTGGCTTTTTTTGCCTCCACAGTAAAAAGAATGCAAGACTGAAGTTGGATAACAAAAACATGAAGATGTCCCAGGCTTCTATGAAGGCAGCTTCTTTCAAGACACGGAAGTGTGAAAAAGAGGAAAGAGATGATGAAAACAAACGAACAAAAAAAGAAAGGGGAAGGTAAAAAATAATAATAAAAAAATAAAAGACACAGACCCACTATACCATAGTAATAACATTATAATTACTGGTGATGAGGCAAGCAGGCTACAAGTGGGGAACATCTCCATCTGTGTTCTCCGCTGGACTAAAATTCTTTGATTCAATAGAAGATTGTTTTCTGGTACTCTTTTCGGCTTCACTAATTCTTGTCACTTAAAGATAAATGTTTTGGATTTCTGTATCAAAGCAACAATTATTTTTTTTTTTTTAATTTTAAGACTTAAGTATCTATAGAATCTTCCACAGAAGAAAATTAATGTCACGGGGGTCTGTATTTTTTTCCTTGAAGTGCAGTAAGCAATAACAAAATCAAGAGTATGTTGCTCTTTGTTTTAAGTATTACATTGAATTAGGTCTCGGGTGCATCAGCACTGCTTTCCAAACTCCTGATCCTTTTCAACCTATTAAAATAGTACTTGATTGCAGAGCCTGCAGAAATACTGAACATTCGTTAAAAACCCGTACATTCTGAGATTACACAAGGCAACGTAAATCTCGGCCCACAAGCGAATGTGGCACCCGACTGATCAAAGGGCACTAACTGTCCACTACACCCCTGAAGCTCCCCTCTCCCCTCTCCTTCGGGCTGCACGTTGTAAGCTTTAACTTGGGCGTTTGGCCACTGAATGCTCATCTATGGCTCCTTTCCTTTCTGCATTCAGAAGTCACATGACGGATGCAGATGCTCTCCAGTGGATAATCATTCTTTTTTTGAGGGGCAAAGATTAGAACACTGATGTGACGCTGTGGTAAAGGGTTTTAACATACAAGAGGTAACAAAATCGGAATTACAGTTCCAGCGCTACGCTATCCCTTAATACATTTCGGTTTTGCATGCAAATACATAACGAAGCAGAATTAGTTATGGTTCCCATGGGAACCGCAACTGATTTTTCCTGACCTGTGCAGCAAAATTCTCAACAATATCAAGAGATTAAAAATACTGCATTCACAGATTCTCTCCTCTCCCTGAGGCACCCCTTCCCCAGGCTGGCTAACTCCTTCTCTTCCTCAAATTAGGGAGAAGTGGGCACTCAGTTACTAACAAAAGTTCAGACATTCACCTTGGTGAAATCTTTTAAAACCGTTTGTTACCATACAGTACGAGGGAAGCACTCCACTGCATGTCTAAGCCAGGAGTTAATACAAGTTTTTAATACGTCTCCATCTGGGTCAAACAGTAATCATTTTGGTATTTTTAAGAACAGGCCTTCTGAGTGCATTATCAATCTCTTGTTCTGCTATCCAAATTTTGAACTCCACAACTGTCTTTTTTCCTTATTTCCCTCCCTCAACCTCAGATGCATCTTACACTGTACTTTTTCTGTTCTGACTTTCACAAAATTATAGATAATTAATAGTTGAATGGTAACCAGCAACCAACTGCCCTCAGAAGTCCATATTTTAATGTCAAGCAAAGCTTTACAGGACTCGAGATCCATCAATGCATCACTAAAATGGTCCAGGAGGGGTTGACATCTGATAATCTCTGCTCCTATGAAATTCAAAGAAACTGTTATTCGTTAAAAATCATTTCAAAAGGCATCTTAACTACGCCACATCATTTCCCAATTATGTTACCTTTCATTTGTAAAGACTGCCTTTTCTCAGGCAACTGTTTTTCCCCAAATACACTGGGAGAAATTAAATGAATACATGATTTGGTTTTTATTTTTTTACATATATGATGAATTACATGGTGTGCTGAAAGGAGGCTAAAACACTGCTTAGCGTTTTCTACTGTAGGACAGATAAAATAGCACAGAGTCCTTTAATATTTTTTTCCCAACAAGTCTCTTGAGAAATGGCATATTTATTAAAGCCAAAGACAATGTCCTTTCTAGTAGCCTTACATTCTGGATCTGAAATTTTGGTCAGAATAATGCTGGGGAGGGGAGATGTGGATGTATCTTTTAAATGGAGATGCCAAGTTATAAGTTTGAAGAAAAAATATGTTGATTAAATCCTTACATACTTTAGGTGTGCATGAACTTACCAATGTAGTTTTATTGGAGGCCATTTTTATTGCAGACTTGCAGAGCTTTTACTAGAAAAATGCATGACAATTAAAAGGAAGTTTACATTACTCAAAGAAAGGCATCCCAATACAAGCATGGTCCTTGTTCCAACCCCCATGTATTCACTGTACATAACATTTCTAACATGGATTAAATCCAGAACAAAAAGTAGGTTACTACTTTGTCCGGCATAACCCAGTAACGCACCGTTACACCATCCAGGATAAAGGATACCGACAAAGTGGAATGCAGGGTTGAAAAAAGGTTTTTCCCAAGGCCTTCTAAGGCACAGAGATGCTTCTAGGGAAAAGGGGGAGGACCATCAGGGATGCTTATTTTCTTAAACCCAACAGGAGCTCAGATTCTAGCAGTCAATCGAGATATACCTAGGTATATTAACTGCGTGGGGAGCAGCTATGTATCTGCAGTGTAACGAGTCACCCATTACTCTTACATTGTAGTAAATGCTTGTAAACAGCAAATATTTATCGTAACGCAACTGTAACGTTGCCTTCTGACTCTCAAGTTTGGATGAGTTAAGGTCCTGGAGCAGTATTAACTCGGCTAAGCTGTATACACTACATATTTAACCTATGCAAAATCATGTTGAACACAATCCATCCCCTTTTCCATGTCATTTCTCAAAGCGGCCACCTCTCCTTAGGCAACGCATTGTCCCCGCCCCAGTGCAAACTATAGAACTGTTAGAATTCCCCACATGCCTGGGAAAGGCAAAAGAGAAAGTCCTTCAAGGCCAGAAAACCTCCCGGGCTCGGCAATCCCGCCCAATCCTCCCCTGACACGGAAGGTGGATTTTAGCAGTTCCGTAGTCGGTGGGGTAGGTGAAGTGGGAGAAGGGCAGGGACCAGGACGCCAGCGCGGAGGGGCTCGTCTCGTCCCCACGTGAAAAGCAGGAGGAAGGGAAAAAGAAACAACAATAACAAAAACCCCGTGCCCCCCCCACCGGAAAAGAGAGGCAGCCCTGCGGAGGCCTGCTGGGAGAGGCTGGGCCTCGGGGATGTGGTGGGCGCACGTGAGGCCGGCGGGACGCCCCCGGGCGACCTAACGGGACC